ATATTTAATAAAATATTAATTGAGCTAATATTTAAAAAAAAATTACAAAAAATATAGAATAAAATAACAAATATAATATATATATTAAATTTATTTGCTATTTTATTTATATTAAAAACTTTTTAAAAAAATAAAACTAAAATAATTAATCTCACTTTACTAGTAATATACTGTAAATATATTAAAAATAATTTAATATGTAATTTATAGTATATAAAATATTATATATAATTGAATTAATTTTATATAAATTTTATATTATATAGTTTTTTTTTTTACTTTATTTATTACTCTTATAAAGATTTAATAATAAGTTATAAATTCTTTTTTTTTTAATATATTTTAATATATTTAAGCATAATATTTATAAACTTAATAATTTTTTTAAATAAAATATTGTTTATTTTATAATAATTAACTCTTTAATTCAAATTCAGTTTATATTTTTCTGTTTCTATAGATCTAATATTTAATAGTTTTTAATAAAAATAAGATTTATAACTGTATATAATTATAATTTCAAATTTAAGCTTTTTTATAACTTATATTTATAAATAATATATTATTTTTTAAAATATTATTTTATTAGAAATTATAATTATTGGATAAATAGTTTTAAAAATAATATTTATATATTTTTTAATATTTATATATAAAGTAGTGCAAAGTAAAATAATATAGATCATAGAGTTTATCTTTATAATATTAGATATGGATTTTTTTATTTGAGTTAGTACTAATAGAAAATTTATTAATTTATAAAATATATTATTAATTCTTTTTAAATTAATTTTTATAAACTTTGATTTATTTTAATTATTTAATACAACTAGTTTTATTAATTATCAATTTTCTGTATACAATATAAAAATATATACAATTTTTGATCAGCCTTTTTTTCAAGAAGATAATTGAAGATATGGGCTTAATTAAAAACATAATAACAATTTGTTGTTTTTAATATCTTTTAAATATTTTAATCTAATTTTATCTTTTGAAAATTTAAATATTTGAAATATTAATTCACAAGGTATTTTTGACTCTTATTTTTCTTAAATAATCAGAATTCCCAATTAATTTTAGATGTTGAACATAATTTTAAATGCAATTGTCTGATTATTCAAGAATTCTTGCAATTTTGACTACTAACTTGCTTTCTTCCTTAAGTCTTTCTATATAAAGTTTCAAAATTTGTTAAATAATTTTGCAATCCATTGAAGTATACAAAAAAATCTTGAATTTTTGTTCTTCAAATAATAAATTAAATAAAAGACAAAAGTCTTTTAATACACAATAAAAAGCAGAAGTAATTTTAAGATTAATAATTGATCATCAAAATCTTTGTGATATAAAATTCGACCTAATCATGTGTTACCCCTCTACAAATATATTTAAAAAGGCAATTTCGGAATTGATGCAGCATTTAAAGAGTATTACGTTACACTATAATTGACCACTTAAAGAACAACATAAGACGAATCATCTTTGACTGAGAATAATAATGGTAATGAAATTAGAAAGAAGGCATTTTGCGGAAATTACTGTATGAATTCAGTGAATAATTCTAATTTTTAATTTCAACAGACTGTTGATATCGATATCATAAAGGTTAGCGAGCAATTATTGTGAAAACACTTTGGGAAAGGAGATCATGTATTAATTCTTAAAATTCTATGTTTTCAAATGTAGCCCGGTGACGGAAAGGTAGAATTATGATGTCGACTGCAGAATTTTATTACTATAATTTCTCCTAATTGAAATTTTGATATTGTCACAGACCTATCCGAAGAAGGTGATCGGAATTCGTTTTTATAACATGAGGATTATGTGAATTCGTCTTATTAACATTCGTCGCTTTTAATCAGGGGGACACTGTCAAGATTAATTGTGATTTATCTTTTATAGACAGTTTTCGGACTTTTTCGTTGGGAAAAGAAATTTAAATCTTGTTTTGATACTTTTAATAGATGTCGGAAAATTCCAAGATGGTAAAGAATTTTCCTCTTCTCAAGCTGGATACCCTTTCGAGTGTAAAATTGGTGTTGGTCAAGTGATCAAAGGTTGGGATGAAGGTGGGCCTGGTTTTGATTATTTTACGCATTTATTGGTGGTTTTTATTTTAACTTCAATTCTGAGCAGGAGTCATGAAGCTTAGTCTTGGTGAACAGGCTAGACTTACCATTTCTCCAGAAGATGCCTATGGCAGTCAAGGGTTTGGCAATATTGTAGGCGATTTATTCATTCTAAGTTTTTTTGGTCTACGATTTTCAATATATTATTCAATGCCTTTTCATTTCATTTTTTTTTTTTTTTAGATTGGACCGAATTCAACATTGGTCTTGTGAGTATTTCATCGGTACTAAAATCAATCGGTTAATTCACGTTAAATTATCCAACTTATATTTGTGATATTATTTTAGTGATATTGAGCTCCTTGGAATCTTTTAGATACATCTTTTTGTTATTTATCGTCGAATGTGATTACCGCGCTCGTATTCGGAACAATGTGACTAATGTAATTGAAATAAACCGTTCCAGTAACTTCTTTAAAAATTTCTTAATCCAGATTCATCACTTATTGCTATGTGCAATCACATGATGTTCCCTCGAGTTATAGTATAGATGTAAATTTTCAAATTTTCGAGAAATTTAATTATTATAGTAAATTATTGATAAGTCATTTTTATTTATTAGATTAAACTAAGTACCATAAGATTATTTTTCTTTCAGACTTTTTGTGAAGTTTCATAATCTTCTACCTCAAAACCACTCTCCTTCCACTCGTCGTATCCACCTTTCAGACTGCTAACATTCTCCTTTTTATATCCCAATCTAATCAAACTTTCTGCAGCCATAATGCTATAAAAAACCGAAAGTGCAAAATTAGTATTTTTGTATACTAAATAAGTACTCGTGAGAATTTATATAACACATAGTCTTATTCTATTTTAGGGTGTCTTCTGATATAACACTCACCTTCTCAACCCCCCGGCACAATAGACGACCACATTCCTACTATTTTCAGAAGAATTGATTTCGTTCACACTAACCACTTTTCTCTCAACATCTCTTTCTAAAACGCCACGTGGCAATGGTATGGCTGTTGGTATAATTCCTCTTAATTGTTCGTCCTTCTCCCTTACATCGATGATTATAGGATTCGTTTTGGATGCGGGTGAAGAGAGATCGAGTGAAGAGTGAAGTTCCTTAGGAGTAATCTCTTTGATCGGATATGATTCCCGAACTTTACTAGATAAATCGGAAAATCTACTTTTCAGGAGGGATGACTGAAGGAAAAAAAAATTAAATCGTTCTCAGTAAAATTAAATTAAAGTAAATATATCGTTGATGAGGCAAAGAACCATTCGATACTAACGTGAGAAAATTGACGAATATTTTGTTGAAAGCCAGAGATAAAGTGACTTTTTAGTATATAACTGCATGTTCGAGTTGAAGACTTTGATTAAATTTTTATTGGGAATTATGGGATATATTACAAGAAAAAAATTTTTTTAATAATTGTTGCTTGCGAAAATAATTAATCGAAGACTAGTTACCTTTGAAATACCTAACATGATTAATTCTACTGTGCACAAAGGAATGCGCTTAGTATTTAATTAACATTTCATCGGACAAAATTTCCAAAACCAGTATGACCATGCTTAGTAATTCTTATTCTCGATAATATAAAAACGTGAGAAATATATTACACTAACTCGTAAAAGAAAGTTATCACCTGACGAAAATTTTTCGTGATGATCAATTAATTTTATTGTACTGTATATTATTTTAAATCACGGTTTATTTTATTCATCTCCAAGCTAGATTATAGTTAGTAACAATTAGATAAATATTTTTTATATATTTAAGGATTTATAGATTATTAAAAAGTTATTGTTGTTTGAAAAATTATAATTATATGATTTTTTTTAATTCTTAACCATATTATATGGCTTAATCTTTTTTTTTTTTTTGCTCTCTGTCAAGCTAGTTATGTATGCTTTATTAAACATTTGTAAGCTATACATTATATGGCTTTATCTTTATTGAGAAGTTTATATAACTATCTATAATATTACAGATTTTTTATATAATTATTAATCAATTGCATTGAAGTACTCTAAGTCATATCTGGAGATAACATTTCATTTTTCTAGAAAATTGATATAAATTCTTATTTATTAGGTTCTAGTTTATTATTGTAAATTAATCAAAAATCAAAAATTGTTAAGTTAATAAAAGAAAAGAGAAAATTAATAATAGTTATATAATATGAATACACAATAGATCAGTATTAAAGAATTTGTCAAAACATTTAATAAAAAAAGGATTAGAAAAGATTGAATAATACAAAAAAGAATTCAAGAGTTATAAATTTAAAATAATAAAATTATAGATTGATTAACTTTCTAAAATCAATTTAATCTATCCAATATTTTTGATATCTCCTTTAAAGCTAATAAAGACAAAAGCTTCTTGATCAACTTAATCCATAATAAGCTTTCAGTATTGTAGATACTCAAGAAAAAAAAAACTAGATATTTATATTATAATAACTTGTCCAATATGTGAACTTTAAGAAGAGATATTAGAATATCTTTTTGAATGTTTAGTCACTAAAGAGATCAAAGAAGACATATGACAAAAAACAAAAGAAAAGATTAATTAATATATTAGTAAAAAAATAAAAGATAAGAAAGAAGTTTACCCTATAACTAATAATTAAACAAGTGGATGGCTAAACAAGATTCAGCATTCTGATAGAAGCTTTTCAATATTATCTATAAATATATTATAATAAAAATAACTCCTAATATTATTGGATAATTATTTTTAAGTATAATCTTTATTCTATTTCTATTTTTATTTGTTTATTTATAATTATTTCTTTAATATTCTTTGATATTCTTATTAGTACTTAATTAGCAAAGATCACTTTATCAAATGTAGCACGTGATATAATTTATCATAGATTAGGTAGCTCAGGAGGCCTAGGAGGTTCAAGTGTCCCATTTTTACATGTATATAAGCAGTTATAATTCACTCAAAAGTAGAATAAGTTTGAATATAACTTTATTTGACTTTAAAAGTTTGCATATAATTTTACTTGACTTTGGAAGTTGGTAGATAACTTTATTTTGATTTCTTAAAGACTAGATATCTTTTTTCAATTTTAAAACTGAAGGAATTGTTCTAGTTTTCTTGATTTATTAATGATTTTAGATTTTGAGTGAACTATATTTCTTGTAAAACACTGTGTGACACTGTTTGAAGAATTCTTGATAAATCTATTTTTAAATATTTCTTTATTATTATAAATCACTTCTTTGATTCTTTCTTTGGAAATTATTCTTTTAAAAGCAATTTCACTTGAACATATCAGTCAAATATAAATTTAATTACATTTTGGTGATAATGACAGAACCTTGCTCTTTAAAAAGGAACTTGTATTTTTAGAACATATTATCAATTAATATAGAATTCAACCAGATTCAGCCAAAGTGAAAAAGGTGAAACTTTGCTATACCAATCAATACTAGTGAACCGAGAGGATTTATTGGACTAATATTTTATTACTATTATTTTATATCAAGTTTTGTTACTATAGCTGAACCAATAAACAAGTTTTAAAAAAAAATACCTTATATCTTTAGAATAAGAAATATCAATCAACATTTGAGAAACTTAAGAAAAAATTAACTTTACATTAATTTTGACTTATTCAGATTTCTCCAAGCCTTTTCTTCTATATACTGATACTTTTTATAAGGGATTAGAAACTGTCCTAGCTCAATTGAATGAACAAGAAAATGAACATGTCATAACTTATATAAGCTGAAGTCTTATTGGATCTAAACTTAATTACTTCATCACTGAAATTGAATGTTTTGCTACTGTCTGGTCCATAAAATACTTTCATTTTTATATTTATCTTCAAAAATTTACTTTTATTACTAATCACTTGGTTCTTCAATAAATAATTAATAACCCTACTTCAAATAAAAGGATGACATGATAGATACTTACTATTATGGATTACCCCTTCAAAATTCAATATTGAAAGTTAGGAAGCATCAAAATGCCAATGCATTATTAAGACTCTTTTCAACTTTAACATCTTAATCATAGATTCAGAAACCTATTAACAACTATATACATATCTCTCTACTAAAAAACTACTTCTGAACTTAATAGCAAAGAAAATAATCTTTTTCAAAAAATAAGCAATACATTATCTTATCCAACACTATACACTATTCCAATACAATATTGTGAACTCTTTCCACTGATCCCTTGATCACACACAAAAAAGATGTTCGCAAGAAATTTTTTATTTCTTTGCTAATAAAGTCTTAATACTATCCTTAAAACAACT